CCCACTGTGCGTGGTCTGGGCTAGAATGATGTAGTGGTTAATTTTATGTGTCAGCTTGGCTGGTCTACAGTACCCAGATATGTTGTCAAACATTAGATGTTTATGGAGAGGCATTTTTCAGGTAAAATTAACATTTAAATCAATAGCTTTGTGTAAAGCACTTATCCTCCATGGCGTAGGTGGGCCTCATCCAATCAGTTGAAGGCCATATGAGAAAAGACTGACCTCCCCAAGCAAGAGAGACCTCTGGGAGCGTGCTGCTTTTGAACCTGAAATGCAGTTCTTCCCTGGGTCTCCACCCTGCCAGCCTACCTGCAGATTTTGGACTGGCCATGCCTTCACAATCAATGAACCAGTTCCTTGAAATAAACCTTGGTCTGTCCATCTCTCTCTCTCTAGCTACACACACTGTTGGTTCTATGTCTCTGAAGAGCTCTGACTAATATAATACAAGGTGTGTCACGGGTGGGTGGGTACGCAATGTGACTCTGAAGCAGGAATAAGAAGCAACTCTCGAGATCATCCTGTCCAGTGGTTTCCAGTTTTATTTTTACAGACTCTCTGTCTTCCTGCCGACGGGCCCTCAAGTGCCATCTGAGGGACGGTTAAGACTTAGAGGTAATGTGCCGTGTCCCAAGTCTCATTTTAGCTCACTAATCCTTGCAGTAACCTGATAAAGGAAGCATTTCTGTTGTCCCACTTCAAAGGTGAGGAAACTGAGGCTCAGAAATTCAGGGACCTGGTCAAGCAAAGTTCTCACTAGAAGGGTCACAGCTAGGATTTTAATCCAGGACATCTGAGCCAAGTGAAAAACTACCACACTTTCCTGCCTCATAACATATTTAACTCATAAAATGACGACTGCTTTGGCTGAAGTGGACAAAGGTTCTGGGGGGACTCCAGGTTCACCTTTTTCCTACCCTCTTGGGCCCCTAAAGCATCTCCAGGGGCCCTACAGCTCCTTTGGAGCACCATCTAAAACCTACATGCTATCCCAGTCCCCTCATTTAGACAAAGGGAAAAGTTAGGCCCAGAGAAGTTAAGTGTCAGATTCGAGGTCACACAGCCAGGCAATGGCAAGCCAGGGCTAGAAACTGAGAGTCCCCCACCCTTCCAGGACAGCTCTGATGGTTTCAAGATCTTCAGATATGGGAAGAGCTGGGGTCCCCAGTGAAGTAGTGGGGAAAAGGGTTCCCTGAAACAAAGGAGGGCTCTGGCTAGGTTTCCCCTGTAGAAGGCTGCCTGTCTTCCCAGGTGTATCCAGCTCTGAGAAACTGCAGGTGACTGCTCCCCACTCCTGGGCTGACTGAAAAGCACTGACAGAGGAAGTGGCCTAGGCCTAGGCCCCCAGACCAGTCCCAGCTGGCAGCCCTTGGGCTCTGGAGCTGGCACTCTGGTTTCTCCTGCCAGTTTCAGCCTAGTGGGAGGATAGGGCCCCTGGCCAAAGCTCTGAGTCCATCCAGCCTCCTCAAGGTCTCCAGCATTCTTAGGACCCCTCTAGAGCACTGCCATGGGTCCAAAGAGGAAAAACTCCTACATATCCCTCAAAACCCAGCCTGCACATGCCTTCCATGATGAAACCTGACAAAAACATCTCTGCTGGGCCAGAGACACCCTTTTTCACACACCTCTACATTAGCTTTGCCCCTGCCTATGTGTGCCCATGACTGCCTAGGTGTCTGCCTTCCCAGGGAAGTGCGGGCTTTTGACCCCAGTAGCCAGTGCAGTATCCAGCCCAGAGGACAACTCAGTCCATGCACATTGGAGGGAGGCATGGGTGTCTGGAGGTGAGAGGAAGTCTATGCTGAGAAAGCCACCCAGCCTTCGAAGGTGTTAAAAAGGAAATTCCCCAGGTCCTCCCACTCTCTGGGCCTCAGAAGGATTCCCTGGTCCAGAGCTGGCATTCTCATCTCAGGTGAGGAACCTGAAGCCCAAACTGTAAAGGGACTTAGCCAAGGTCACACAGGACATCCAGTGCCACTCTCCTCCCACGGTCTCATCCATCACTGCCCCCCACACAGAGCCTGGACCTTGACCTTAGCAATCGTCTCACAGTCAGTCACACACAGAACTGCACTGTCCTTACCTAGGACTCCAGGAGGTGCGGGATGGGCTTTGCTGTTAGCCCTGTCGCCTCAGAGCAGCAGGCTCAGGAGGGAAAGGGCTCGCCGAGTCTGGGGTACCTCTGTGCATGCATCTCTGTCCTGCCTGTAAGTCCCCACACTCTACCTTCTTGCCTGCCTTGTTTGTCTCTGAGTATCCAGAACCAAGATTAGACTCTCCCACCCCAACCATATCACATTAAACAGAGATGCAGGAGAAGGGGAGCAGAAAAGCAGCTTGAGCCACCGGTAGGCAGCCAGGGGAATCCAACTACCGGGTCTTTCCATGTCCTGCGCTTCCCTCTGGCAAAAGTACACTCAACATTACAAGCCCCTGGGAGAGTCCCACCTCCCACCTCCCAGCCAGTAATGCAGACGCTCACCGTGTGAGAGCCAAGACTTGAAGACGGAGAAGACCAGAGAGCACAGCAAACCTGTGAATTGGGCTCAGAGAATGAATGCAATGGAGGCTAGAGTCTAGCCCATCCTTGGCCCTCCAGCCAGAGAATGACTTGTAAGTATCACCATACCTGTCGGCACTGGTTGGCTGGCTGGATGATGGAATATGATGGGTATAGGGATGGGGTAGGTGGATAGATGGACAAGGCCTATCCACCTCATGCCACCACAACCTCCTGGCTCCAAAGCATAGAGGAGTGAGATGCAGATTCCTGCATCCCCCACCAATGAGCCTAGTGGCTCTGGCCCTGCTCCAGGCCTAGAGCCCCAGTCCTGCTAAGGGTGCACACAGGGCCTGTTGAGCCCAGTCTTCCCTTCCCTTCTGGGCCTGGCCCCTACGCTTTCCGCGGCCCAGTTGGGACACCTAGTGGTGCTGCTGGAGTATAGCCCTAGCTTTCTTCCCTCTTCCAATCAACTCCCCGCCCTGCAGCAGTACCCAGCTAGAGCTGCCAGAACAGCCTGGCCCATCCCACAGCTCCGCACCGGTTCATACCAGCAGGGCTAGATTGGGATCCAGATGAAACTGGAGCCATCTCTCACTCACCTTGAGAGCCCTGCATACACGTGAAAGTCAAATGTCCTTGTCACCCTGAGCCCTCTGGCCAGGTAAGCCGGGGGAGTGGGTGCCGCACACACGGGAGCCAAGGCAAACAGCAGCCAAAATTGTGCCCAAGACCACAGAGAGAGTCCCCAGGACTTCCTTCTCCTCCTACCTCCTGCTGCCTCATATCTCAGCAGCCCCGAGGGTCACTGGGGAGAAGACACCAGAGAGAGAGAGGAATTGGAAGGAGAGGGGACAGCTGAAAACTGACTCATGCAGCCCAGAGGCACGGGCCAGGGTGAAGGCGCCGTTTGCCGTTACCCAAATAAAATCCAAACGCCCACCCTCAGCCATTCCCGTGGCCTTCACCCTAACCCACCCACAAGTTCTAGCCAGGCCTCTTGAGAAGAGGGTGACACCATGTGGCTGATTTTGCCACTGCAAGAATTCCTGTTGCTGGGGGTCCCTGTCTTGCCTCGGGTTCAGGACAATAAATAACTCTGTCCTTTGACTGGTTCGTGTTCCACGCGCAGTCACAGAGGTTCACTCAGTTGCACACCTCCAGCCTAACACTCCTACCTCCAACACCCCGCTGAGACGCTCTGACCGCTCTCCCCAACCCCAGCTCAGAGCCTTGAAGCTCCACTCCAACCCAGCCAGCCGTGGGCCTTGACCAGAGCTGTGACCCGTGCCAGCCTCAGGCTCCTCATCTGTAACACAGGGATGCAGCTGCACCTTCAGATGCTGCAGCGGGCTGGGACCACGCATGCAAGTGCCCAGTCCCTAGTAGTGCTTCAGAAACTGTTCCCAAGGCTGGATGCCAACCTCCAAGCCTGGCATGGAGGGAAGGAAGCAGGGAACAGAGGCCAGGTGGGAGAACCACAAGAGCAAAGGCTCCTGGGCAAGAAAGAGCGTGTCCCGTTCGGCATAGGGGACCTGCTCGGCCTTCACAGGACCTGCATGGGCCACAGCTAGTTTGAGTATGGAGCACAGGACAGAGAGCTGAGCCTGGCAGGCCTCACAGCCATGGGAAAGCTGCACTGTGCAGAAATCCCGAGGTTTTAGCCAAGGAAGCGATGTGCCCAGATTTACACTTCCAGCTCCTGCCTGCAGCTGCTGTGGTGGGGAGCTGGAGAGGTCAGCAGACAGGACAGGCCTGGGCTGCTGCCGGCCATACAAATCAGAGATAAGGACTGCTGAACTGGGGGACAGATGCTGAGATGTTCAGTGACTCTAGCTGCATCGGATGACCCTGGCAACTGGTGTGATGGACAAAGGAGAGGGCACTTGCATGGGTGGTGGCATCTGCCACAGAAAGGGGTACAGGGCCTCCTGACGATTTCCCTGTGTGGCTCGGCTTCCCTGTGACGGTGACTGCCACACCCCAGGCCCTTCCAGGAGTACATGGAAATAGCAGTTGGAAAAGCCTGGCAGTCATCAGGTCCTACACTGACTCTGATTCGGGCCCTCTTAAAATCACCCCAAATTGCCACGAGGGGAGGACTGCGGCTTGGTTTCTTTGCAGCCCAACCAGTGCCAGGCACGTGTCAGCCACACACTTTCGCACGCTAACCACGTTGCTCCTACCACCCATCCATGCACCTCACATACAGGACCTTCACACACGGCTTCCACACCCTAGCCACATGTCACTCACACGTGCCCTATACTACCCAAACACCTGCCATCCACACATCACACCTGCTACCTTCACATAAGCTACATGTCATTTCCATGCCACCTGCCACATGTCACCCACACTCCCACATGCACATGTCCCATGCAAGGGAGCTCAGCCCCCTTCCCCAGGTGAGAACCAGGTTCAGGACACGTCCACCTGCCCAGGTAGCCCTCTCCCTCTCGGTAACAGCCCCCGAGCTTCAGGCATCAGCACTCACCTTTGCAGGTGCAGCCCTCCCGGGTGATGGCCTGGCGGCAGATGCCACAGGGCTTCACCTTCTTGAAGGTCTTCACTTTGAAGTGGTGGGTCTTGGGGGCCTCCAGGTCCTCCGGCTGTGGGAGAAGGAGCACAGGGATAGTCAGGATGAAGGCTGGCATCTCTGGAAGGACTCAGAGGCTCTGGAGAAGCAGCAGGCAGGACAAGAAGAGAGGAGAGGCACAAGCCCACTTGTGGGCTACAGAAAGAAGGAGGTGCCAGGGACAGACAACAACAGTGTGGGGACGCTCATCCCAGGCTCCCAGACTTGCATGGACCAGAGATCAGGATTCAGAGAGCAACTAGAGGCCCCAGCACCCAGGGATAGCAGACCCCTCCATGGCTTCCCATTCATCATTTTTATTACTTCTTTATTGGGGCATGACTTATACACAGGAAAGTGCACTAAGTTTAAATGTACAAATGTATTACTAATTGGGCTGGGGCTACAGCGCAATGGGAGGGCGCTTGCCAAGTATTTGTGAGGCTTTGAGATCCATCCCCAGGACTCCCCGCAAACGCATTGTTTAATACACCTTTAAAATTATGCACCTTGTGTGGCCACACCCAATGAGCTCCCTCTTGCCCCCTCCCAGGCAGGCCTCCCCCAGCATAAATGCTACTGGGACTTCCCTTGCCAAGGAATCTTTTCCTCGGGCTTTTAAACTTAGCATACAGTATGCCCTCTCATGTCCAACTTCCCGCATGCAGCAGTGGTCTGTGAGATCCTCTGTGTTGTCACAAAAAGCAGCTGCTCCTTCTGTCCCAGTGCCATGTGGCATGCTATTGTCTGAATGATTGATGGTCCTTAGCTTCTCCCACTTATGTCCCCAGCATGGCATTTCCTTCCAGGCCCTCTCACCCTCTTCATCCCCAGCCCAAGAGGCCTCTTCCATCTTTATTTTTATTTATCTATTCTTTGCATTATAAAAATAGGCAAGCACAGCTCTTTTCTGCAATGTTGAACCCGGGGCTTTGTACATGCTAAGTTCGCTCTCTCTCTCTCTGTCTCTCTCTCTACCAGTGAGCTATACCCCACTTCTGGGAAAATATGGCAGGCTGAGTTCCTGCTTTAAACTGTACCATCTCATATACGAGAAGAAGACAGGCCTGTAGTCCAAGCCATCTACTAATCCACCTTGCCAGGACCCCTGGGCCACCCATTCCACAGGCCTCAGTTTCCCCTCTGGAGAGCACCACACCCCTGGAGCTCTGATAGTCTGTCCTTTTTAGCCATGCATGAGATCACACTCTGGGTCACAAAGCCCTGCACGTCACTGCCCACCCTACAGCCCAGCCCAGGCACAGGCTGGGGGTGCTCTGTGGTCAGAGGACGCCCCAGGGACAGCATCCCATGCCCCTCAGGTATCCTGCTGCTGTCTAACTTGGCTCTTTGCCCTGCAGAGGCTGGAAGGACACAGCAGTTTCCCCTTTCCTCTCCCAGGCACAGACATTTCTGACATCCCCCTGCACTGGCACGGGCACATTCAAGGGTACACACAGAGACAAGATCGCAGACTCTGCCGTGTGGGCAGGAGGGCTCTGCTCTTCTGACTTTCCTCTGTGTTTCTAGCTTTAGCACCTCCCAGGTCTGTGGTGGGGGTGGGAGGGGATACCTTTGTGCCCAAAGGAAGAATGGCCAAGAAGCTCAGCATGCTCAGGAAGGACTCCTATTTGGAGACACTGCAGAAGGGATCCCTGGGGGAAAGAGACAGAGCCACTGAGACAGAGAGGGACTGGGGTGAGAGGTGCAGAGAAAGAGAAAAGCTACTGAGAGGCAGGCCGAGGGGGGAAAGCAGACCAAGATAAAAGCAGAGACAAAGAAAGAGACCAACAAGTACACACAATGAGAGAGATTAGATAGAAACACACAGAAACTAAGAGAGGAACCAGAGGATCAAAGAGGGAGAGACAGACAAAAAGACACCAGAGCTCCTAACGACCAAATCTGGGAACATCTAAGCATCAAAATACATAATGATAGTAATGGCCTAAATGAAGCCATTGTGTTATAAAGAAATAGATGAACAAATGGAAGTTTGATGAGAAATGGAGCATTTTTGTAGTCTCAAAGCACTTTCCCTCATCACACTTATAAATCACAAAGTGGGTGGGGGCAGCTTTTCCTGGCAGTCTCCACTTCAATCAAGCGATCAAAGCGATCGCCAGTAATGGGACAAGTGCAAGTCGTGCGCCTGGGAGGGAGGATTGAGAACAGAACATCGCTTCTGCGACATTCCTGCCAAAAATCTAATCAAGAGAAAACATCAGGCCAAGCTGAGGGACAGTCTCAAATTAAATGCCCTGGAATCTTCCAAAGTGACAAGGTCACAAAAGCCAAGGAAAGACAGGAAATTTCTAGACTGAAGGAGACTCAAAGACGTGACAGGTCTGTCACGCAACCTGATTGTGAACCGGATTCTTTCACACCCATAGAGGACATTGTGGGGACAAGTGGCAAAACTTCCATGGAGTCTGAGGATGAGACTGTAGTAGAGCATTGACATCAGTGTACTAATTTTGAGGGCTATGCCGGACTGGGTAAAGGTATTTGTCAGAAAATCAGGAAAATATTTAGGGATGGTGGAACATTGTGTCAGCAACTTACTCTCAAGTAGTTCAGGGGTAAAAAAATTCTCTGCACTGTACTGTAAACTTTCTGACCTTTGAAACTGTTTCAAAATTCAGAGAGGGACAGGAAAAGAAGTGTCAAGGGTAGAGGTGGAGAAACCAGAGGGTGCCAGGACCCCAGCAGTGCCCCCTGGTGGCTAGGGGGAGCAGCAGGGATTGCTGGGCAAAAGCAACTAGGAGCCTCTGGAGGGATGTGGTGAGGATGGGCATGGGGTATTTCCCAGCCCTTGGCTTCCCTCGGTGTCCCCATGCCACAAGGGGGCACGGAGAAGTCCCCTCCACTCTGCCCTCCTTGTCTCCCCTCTCAGCTGCTGGCTGGCAGCCTTCCCAGCAATCTCTGTCACAGACATTCCAGGGAGGGGCCCCAGCCCAGTGTCAACTGCAGCAACCCTGGTCTGGACAGGGGAAGGAGCAGGGAGAGAACCGGGGTTCAGATTAAGGATTACCTGGGAGAGCCATCCCTGGGAGACCCCGAAACATCCCCAAGCCTGCTCGCCCACCCCACTGAGCCCAGCAAAACTTCCCACTCTAGTTTATCCTCTAAACTCCTCTCCCCACTTCCCAAACCCAGCTCTTCCCCCAAAACCCAAGGAAGAGGCTTCACCCCAGAACGCAGCAGGGACAGTGCAGTCTTCTAAAAAGGGGATGAGCGGCAAGTCCACTGGGCAGGTTGCAGGGAGTAGAGCCTTCCAGACTGTTCAGCAAAGGCCTAGTTTGCCCATCTAAACCCACAAAATCTGAGTTTACAAAATCGCTCTGCCCTCTAGGCCAGGGTTCAGATACTCCTGGACCTCGCTCATGTCTCTAAGCAGCACCTCCCTTCCCTTGACTGCCTCAGCACACTCCACCCCTCACCCCCACCCTGCCCTGGCTCTGGCTGAGGGAGCCCTGGGACCAGTCTGGAGACCTGATTCCAAAGCTGTTACCCCTGAGAACATCGGTGGCCTTCTCTGGGCCTCGAAGACCCCAAATGCAAATGAGGTCTTCGACCAGTCAGTCTGAGTCAGAGTGTGGGACACTACAGGACAGTACCTTGGGGATGAGGGGCTGGAGTGATGAGGTGGGATATGCTGATGGTTACACAGAGCAGGAGTTCTGAGGAGACATGGCCCCTCTGAAGAGACGCTGGGAGACCCCGAGGGGAGGAAGTAGCCCAGTTCTGCCATCCCCATGAGTGGCCCAGCCTTCCCTTGTGATGAAACATTGTCTAAGGATCTTGGGGACAGTCGCCACACGGGTTTAGATGTCTCCAGGATGGAGGAGGACAGCTGAAGGTAGGCTGACATCCTCTCTTAAGATACTTCAAGGAGCTGTCCCTGGAGAAGGGACCACGCAGGACATGTGAGGGACGAAGGCCAAACAGGCAGGAGGTAGAGCTTGACCAGGCGCAAATCTGCAACACCCCAAGGGTAAAGTCTGGGCTGACAAAAAGAACCCACTGTTGGGTGCTGTTCTGTTCTCCCTGGGGTGCTTAGCAGATATAGGCCTGGCTTGTAAACGAACCCCATAAAGTAAACGAGCCCATAAACACAAAAGGCCGTGCAAGGGCAATGACTTGTCATGACAGTAATCTTTTTCCTGACAAGTGGCAGACAGCCCTGAGAAGCTCAGCCCTGAGCCCTGCCCCTACTGAGCTAGCTGGGGAGATTCAGGAGGGGGGCATGGCCACAGCAGGGAGTCGTCTGTCTCTCCAGCGCACTCCCTCAGGAGCCAGAACCCAGAGAAGGGAAGGGGTCCAGCTGGGGTCATTCTTCCCTGCCCCAAGACAAGTCCGCCCTGCAGCAGTGGGCTTTCGGGGCCAGCCCTCAAGGGCCCCCTGGCCTTTCCCTCCCTCCTTTCAGATCAGCCTGCTGCCCAGCCAGAGGGGTGCGGCACATCTGGCTCAGGCAGCCGTGGCAGGAGTCCTTGGCTCTGGGTTGGAAAAGCTGCTTACTGGTTCCTCCCTGCCCCATGGGGCAGAGCAGCAATGGGGGTGTTGAAGGGAGTGACAGCCCCACGGATTCTCCAGCTCCGGAGTTACCCCCAAAGAATGTCCCAGCTGTGCACCCTACGAAGCTCACCATGGCCAGGCAACCTCCCGATAACATGGGGACGGAGCAGAAGTCCACTGGCCAGTGAGCAAGGCAGCCTGGAAAGGGAGTGGCCATGAAAGAAGACAGGACAAGCCTGGAAGTCAGCTCCCGGCCACCCACCAGCATCCCCTCTAATTAGAATGAGAGGCCTGGTGGGGGCTCCAGATTCAGGGAGTCCCACAGGCAATTTAAATGAAGCTTCCACTACATCTCACCTTCATATGGACACAAAAGTTCTCTCCCTCTCCAGGCCCCCAGCCAGCAAGTGGCCTGCCCAAGTTCTTGGTCACCCTGGTGGAAAACTCTGAGTCACACTCAACGCCTCCCTGCTCTCTTCCACTCTCCAGCCAAGCAGCTGCCACAGCCCATGAATC